TGCTAAACCATAACCTTGACCCGTTAAAAAACCTCTTATAGAGAGTATGAAATGCAGGTGTTGCAATCCAGAAATCTGAACAGACATCCGAACAATCTTGGATGTTGCTGCTGCTGATGATGATGGAGATGGAGATGGTGCTGATCGTAAAGGAAGATAAAAGACAATGATCAGAATAATATGATGATGATGACAACGGTAATCATGAATGATGATGAAGAGGAAAGGTGAAAGAAGATGACAGAAGAAGAAAATTGAAACACCGTATTGGTCAAGGAGATAAAGAGGGAGAGATAGGAAAAGCAGGTTGTAAGTAGTCGACAGTACTCACTGCTTGAAGCTGGCAAATCAAAAGCAAACCAGCTGCCACGAACAGGAGGGTCAGGAGTCATTATTACACCTTTGACTGTCACAGGAGCGCCATCTTCTCCTGCACAAGAGAACAACCAACCAGGCATAGAATCGTCATTTCAGAAATCTATGGAAACGATTGAAGGCTGAAACTCAGGTGTTCAGCAGTTGGTGCATGAAATACAGATGAAGAAAAGCAACAAGTTGGCCGATACAAATCCACAGAGAAGGTGTTGCAATTCCAATGATAAAGAGTATAAACTGAGCAAATAGAAATTCATAAACCTAGGTGGTCGGGCCGGACATACGGCCAGAATTTCTGGGTCAGAATGGTTCAGCTGGATTTTTTTGGATCGATTGGCCCCACTGTACCATCTAAAGACAGGTCTGAGTCAGTGTTACATACTTCAATGAGTACGGGCAGAACCAAAGATCAACCAATATAGGATGAGCATTTATGCAGCGGAAGTCTGATAAATGGACTGACTTACATAGACTGACTCACACACACACACACACACACACACACTGTCTCTTATACACATCTAGATGTGTATAAGAGACAGGCCTTGCCTTGCCTTGCCTCGCCGTTTACTTGCCTTGCCTCACTGTTCACTTCCCTTGCCTTGCCTTGTCGTTCACTTGGCTAGCCTCGCCTTGACTCATCGTTCACTTGATTTGCCTTGACTAGCTGCCTGCTTCGCCTTGTCATGC